AAGTATGTTCTTTTGGAAGTTGTTTTTAATTTAGGGTCTAGACAAGTTTGGTTATAACTAAAGTTTAAGCATATTATTATTATGTATATACTAAGAAAAGTGGGTTCTGATTAATATTCCGAGCTAACATTGCTGTGAAGGCTTTCATTCAGTATTAAATTGAATGATAAAGAGATTCATAGGTCGATCTCACAAAATAACGACTGTTTCCCGTTTGACATTTATACAAAATTCAAGTTGATGCAATCCCCGAGACATCCTTCGTCATTAAGGGCGAAACGAGGTGATCATTCGTCCGTCATATGGCGAACATCATCAAGGCCGGTAATCCTTGTTGAAAAAGTCTCAAGTTAACACAAGGTAAAAATGACTGTCAGGCTCTATCTAGGGCCTTATTACTTCTCATAGGTATAAAATGATTTGACTAATTCCCTTTTATATTTGTCATAGCAATTTACTTAAGCATGTACCATGTCAAATATGAAAGGAAATTAACCAAATCATATAACTATCTGTCTAAAAATTTTGCATTTTTATTATGAGTATAATTAAGAAGATAAGGCTGGACAGTCCTCTTGATCTAGTGTTAATCTGAGAATTTTGCAAGAATAAATCCTAGGACTGAGGACGTTCGACATATTACGAACTTAATCGAAGATATGAAGATTAAGATAGTGTGGCCTCGGGTAATGTCCAAGTATCCTTTCGATTTATAGAAGTTGACCTTGTTGTCTTAACTTGATCTTGCTGTCTGAGAGACTTAGTAGAACGCATCTAGTTCGAAGTCCTCTCCCATAGTAGTTATCATAATTCCGAGCATCAGACAGACTCGGTACATTCTCAAAGCATTTCGCCGGCATCGTAGTCGGAATCATTAGTCAGTTTTGCCATTTTCCACACCAAGCTACAAACTCATCAAAGAGACAGGTGAAGTCAATCCTTCGACAAACGGTCTGCCGAAAATGATTACACTATCACTCCTCTTAACAAACTCACGTCCTAACACAACTTATCACTTGTTTACATTCCACTCGTCAATAGATGTACACTTATGTGGCAAATTTAGCATGGCCTCATCACGGCTATTATTCACCACGACCTACTCTCCTTCGATCAGCTAATCCCACTCGGACCTACAATAAAAATCCTCTCATGGTCCCGTAGATCGGTTCTTTATCTTTTCGGTTGACCGATTACGCTCGGTTCCAGTCCCAGTGTTCATTTCACTCCAGGCACTATTTCTCAAGGCCTTAGAAACGGGTACACTGCCGCCTCACCGTGCAAAGCGTCTAAGCTCTGACTCCCATGCTTACAGATATCAGGCATTGCCTTCATGTGTCGCTCCTTGATTAAACCCGTGTAACCTGAACAAACTGTGGACGCCAATCTCTGGTCACATGCGGAATCTCAAGTGGATTTATAGTACAGTTTGGCCATAAAGTCGGATTATTGTAACGGTTAGCTTATTCGTCGGCTTGACTCCTAGGCAGCCAGTTGTACTGGTTTATTCGAAATGGACATCACGCACTGACATCTTTGCTTTATTGCCGAAACTCACCGTCCCCCACTTTCCTCATCATGATCTCTTTTCCTCTGGTCATCGATAGGTCTTTAATCCAGGCGTCTACGTATTGCTGGTCTTGTTGTATTCTTGTTTTCTCACAGTTTGCTTAAGCAGTAGGCAAAGTTATCGCTAACTCTACCTTCTTCCAATCGCCTGTTTATTAAATTTTTCACAACAAAAATGTCAAGCATCTTCATAATCCTCCGTTTCTCGATGTTTTCACCCTAAAGCCCTTTTTTCTGTTGCCTTTCAATTGATCTCGTATCCAGTCTATTCCGCCAATCCATTTTCCTCAAATCATTTGATATTCCTTGATTAGTATGCTAATTTTCTTCCTGTTTTGCCAATATATTTCTGTTCGCAGGCGCCGCATGATATACAGTAAACTCCTGGACAATCCAATTTGCCTACCCTTTAATGTTGCGTTGGCAGACTTGTAAAAAGTGTTGATTTCTCTTTCATGGCTACCTGAATATTCA